ATGTAGAACTAGGGAAAGAAACCTGAGAGGTTATTTGAAAAATAAATTGGCAAACATTTTCTTGATTCAGACTTCAGGCCAGGTATAATCATAGCCAAAAATAACCTCACTAACTTATTTATAAATGTATAGATATGCAAAAAGAGAACTGTCTCTTTCCTTTTTAGTGAAAATTTGCTTTCTTTTTGGATAAGCAAAGCTGTAGAAAAAGCTAGATGGGACACAAAAGTTGGTTTAAGAAAACATTACAGAGCAGATACACAACAGGAACAGGTTTTACTTTTGCTTTTTTTTTTTTTTTTGAAAAGATTATTATGTCCACAGAGCTGATATTGTTTTTAAAGTTTCTACTATAAACCAAAAATGTCCATTAAAATGTTGAGCAGACACTGATTAATAAATGTAAAAGCAACACAGATTTGATATATTTATGTTCAGTCACTCCTCCTTAGCACTTAAAAAATTAAAACTTAATCATGTACATGGAAAAAAAAATAACACTAACCAAAAGCAAAATATTCTTGGGGAGATCCTTTCTGGATACTAAATTAACTGAGGTAATGAAAACCATTTCTTTACTAGTGTCTATTTATGCAATTAAAATGTTTGACTTTTAAAAGTTTTTATTTTGATCTTGAAACTTTGAAAGTCATTAAAATATCAGAGAATCCCAGGATTCATGGAGTTAATAGAAAATGTGTTATTTCACATATTCAGTTAAACCCATCAACATGTGTCTGTCATCTGCTTGACCATCATAATACTGAAAATAATTTAGATTTATCATAATATAGGTTCCCTTAGACTGAAGGAAGAGTAATGATGCAAATCTTGATTACCTCACAGCAATATAATAGTGAACTTATATGGATATTTTTCAAAGGCTTTGCTATGGACTGAATTGTTGCATCCCCTGAAATTCATATGCTGAAGTCAATCTTCACTGTTTTGGCATTTGAAAGTGAGGCCTTTGAGAGTTAATTATGTCATTAGAATACAGTCCTCATTAATGGGATTTGTGCCTTTACAAGAATAAACAAGGGAGACACAATCTCTTTCTCTGCTTGTGAGGATTCAGCAACAAGGAGTCCATCAGTAGATCCTGAAGAGGCGCCCTCAGCAGAAACCAACTCAGCAACTTTATCTTGGACTTCCCCACTTCCATAACTTGGAGAAATAAATGTTGTATCAGTCACCCAGTCCGTGGTGTTCATTATAACAGCTCAAGCCAGCATTGATACTGTAAGACATATCTGTATTGGTGGCCACAGATGAAGAGATATGCATGGGGAACTGGGAAGATTGGGAGGAATGTAAGAAATAGCTCAAGTATATGGATATTGTAACCTCTTAGTAGGTTGGATGGTAAAGCATAGACTCACAAAGTCAGATTTGGATAAAACAACCCCTTCCTTTAAAGATGAGGAAATGGGCACAGGGATATGAAGTGAGCTGTTCCGATCACAAGATAACTTAGAAAGATAATGAGATAGATGATCATGGCCAGTAAGTAAAATTAGAATCAGGAGAAGATAATTGACTTATAATAGGATCTCATTTTCTTATTCAATACTTGATTCAAGTTTATATCTTTGGCCAATAGCAAAATATACAAAGCAGCATTCTCTAGGCTGATCTTTAGGGAAGTCTTGAAAACAACCTGATGATTAGCAAGAACAATGATACTATGGGACAATGAAAGGATATTATTTAACATTGAACTCTGAGTTCTATGTATTCTTTTCCACCACTGGAGACATTCTGTCACTCATTATGTCAAGACAGTCCTTGAACTCTATTATTAATGGAAGAAATGACGAGGAAGGAGATATGGGAAAGCAGCATAGGACAAGGACATCACTGTTGTGATTATGGCTTCAATCAAGGGAAATCATGAGAGATGAGGAAAGGACACTGAAGAATATGGGCCATGTCAAAATATCTTCCTCAGAGAGCTTGATGGCGTATTCAACCTCACTCATATTGAAAAGTTATTTTCTCACATCACGTTGTTCTAATTTCAGGTAATAAAAAGGGAAATTGAACTAACTTAAGGAAATAGGGATGCTAACAATTAAGCCACAGGAAGAACTTGAATACTGTCAAGAACCATCTGGGTTTTTTCTTCTTTCAAATGGCAACATTATTATTTCTTTCTGTATGTTGGTCATTTCTACACAGAAGGAAACATGGACAGGCCAGTCTGGAGTTTAAGATCTCAAAACGACCAGTGAAAGCTTAATTTGAACCTTTCCATTCCCAGGCCCCCAAATCCATCTCTCCTCTAGTCAATAGCAACTAAGGTATTTTGATTTTTCTAACTTGGTTTTGAGTCATCCAACTTACAACCAGGGACTAAAGGTGGTCTTTTTATGGAAGTATAGCCAGATTAAAAATGTAGAACTAAGGGAAGGGAGAGTTCCTAGAAAAGGGATATTCAGCAGATAGTTTCAGGTGTTTGTGGTTTGCTAAATAATTTGTTGTGTTACTCAGATTTTCTTTCAGGTTGCAAGTAATAGCAGCACATTTTAGATAATAGATAAGGTTTTATTATAGACACATGGGAAAATGAAGAAATGCAGAGATCCATCTTGGCATGCTGCAACCCAGTTAGCATGTCCTTCCCATGTAAGGTAGAAAATGTTCCCTATGGTGTTCTTTTCTCATGATGACTCACTTGAGATGGGAATCAGATGATAGAGGACACAGGAAGACCTAATTCTTGATTCTAGCGTATGACTTCTATTTTCTCACCATTCTGGGTAATCACAGAGGGTATCATCTTTCTGTCTACATTTCTAGGTGACATTTATTCATTTTCTTTTTCTTTCTTTTTTTTCTTTTTCCTTTTTTTCTTTTTGAGATGGGTCTTGCTATATTTCCCAGGCCTTGATCTCATGATCTTCCTGCCTCAGCTTCCTGAGTAGCTGAGATTACAGGGGTTCACCACTGCCCCAGATTTCTCATTCTCATAATCAAATCATCTGAGACAGACTATGACTAGGTAGACCAGTCACCATCAAATGCAGGATGCTTTATTAGAGCTTTAAGTGTAGAGTCATTTCATAGGCTCCTGATTACCTCTGGCCAGGCTCTAATCATTGTTTCAATAAGTTAGAGATAGGAAAATAAGGGCTAATGCAAATTATGGTGCATTGGGTTTAAACTGGTTTCCAACCAACTTAATTGGTGGAAACCACATATGAACTGTTTGCTGTACACAAAAATATAGACCAAGTGTTTTCTAAACCAATGATTGTTAATTAAAAATCCTCCTTAGCCAAGAGTTATTTTAGAAATTCTGGTTAAGATTAGGGTACATATAGAGTTCCTGACATAGAAAAACCATAAAATCGGTGTGGGAGTAACTATAACAATGGACACTAGAAAAAAAAATTAAAATGTTCACACCATTTACTTTTTTTCCTCACAATTGATGCTAAAATACACAACTAATTTCTTCACCTCTTGCAAGATAATTGGCATGAGACACTGGACTTTAAAATTTAAAATTTTTCAAGAAAACATTTTGTTACTTAAATTGTTATTATAGGGTAGAATGTATATTTTAAAAAGAAGTAGTTTTTAAGGAGGAGAGGTCATAAGAAGTAAAAGAACACAAAGAATGGTGATTGAAGTGAGATTAAATGAAAGCAAAGAAAATTAGAGGGGGCGGGTGGTAAAGATAGAAATGAAGAAAATTCCAAAGAGCTGTTCACAGGGCTCTATTGCAGTCAGTACCATTCTGGTCAAGTCACCATCAGCTGCTCTAAGTTTAGTTTCTCTCTGCCCTTGGCTGCTTCTGCTAAAACTGCAGCCTCAGCTTGTTTGGCCTCTTCACTGGGCCTCTTACTTGCTGTGGGCCCTAGAAAGGCAAAGCTTCAGACTCCAGCTTTCTGCTCTTCCTCCTGTTCTCAGCTCCATGGAAATTCTTAAGGAGCATAGAGGCAAAGGATAAGGTCTCAAATGATGATTGAGGTGGCACACTGGTGGCTTGATTTTTAAGCTCCCCTGATAATTTTATTTATATATTTGCTGCTTTTAGAGGAGCCATGTAAAGAAAAGAATTTTTACACAGAATGCCTGTGCAAATAGCAAACCAATAACCTACTACACCCAGAAGATTTGGGTCCCTGCTCCGAGTACAATTTCAGGACTGTAAAACTATAATGGATATGTAGACTGGAATGACCTGGTCCCAGGATATTTTAGATTCAGAAAAGCTCAGAGACTCCCACACCAGACAATGATGGCTATGGGGAGCATAAGCCTGCAGAGTAAGAACAAGGAAGAGGCCTAAAGCTGACTACTACAGAATAAGCCTAATCAGTTGAAGTCCTTTACGTTCTGATACGACCTTAAATTCTTCCAGACGGAATAGTTTAGGCTTGATGACATTTTCCATAAAATCTAAATGTCAAATGATGTGGCTCTACAAATATGGATTTTTAAATTTTTGCTTAGTGTCTGTCAGTTTTCGAGGGTGGGAATCAATTATGCTATCTCTCCTACCATTATCTCATCTGCAGAGATTAACGCATCTGCAGAAACTACCAGTTTCTTACTGTTTCCACTTAAATTACTTCCTAAGTGTGGACCACGAGGGGGTGGGGGAGCAGAGGCAATTTACCCGAAGCAACATCGACTTTTCTTGTATTTCTAGGGAAAGTCCTGTTTGGGAATTAGCACCTTGGGGCAATGGAGTAAATGATGATTTCTCTTCTGTCAAAAAAAATTCGTTTCCCAAGCATCCCTCCGGTGGTCTGTCTGTTCGCGGGCCAGCTGTCCAGGGCCTCTGAGAGGACGGGAAAGGGAGTGTTTCGGTATGTAGTGAGCCCTTTAAATCCAGCCTCCGCCGCCCCCACCACTCCGCTCCAGCTCCCTGACAGGTGTTTTCCCAACTCCGGAGGCCGAGGATTTTGGGGAGTGGCTGAGCCAATAAGATTTCCCTTTGGGGGGGAAGGGCGTGGCTAGTTGGGTCAGAGCAGGGGCGGGGTTTGCGCGGCTGAGGAGAGCCTGCCTGGTTGCGTGGAGGGTTGTTTTATTCCCACCCCTACCACCCCCCTTATTTTCCCGAGTCTTATTAATTTCTCTGTGGGGCTGCAGCTGGAGACCGCGGAGCGCTGGAAATGACGCTCGGAGCTTTAATTACCGCAGCCGCTGGACAAGTGTGAGGAAAGCTGACAAGAAAAAGAAGGACAGGATCGGGGGAGAAGCAAGAAGCTTCCCCGCCCCCCTTCCCTCCCGATTTGGACTGGAGGTGCAAGGAAACTGAAAAAAGGAGCCGAACATAGCCCTGCTGCGGGGAGAGGCCGGAAACCTACCGCCTCTTTGCAATCAACTTTTTTTGGAAACCTTTTTCCCCCTTCCTTTTTATTGTTGACCAACCAGTGAGAGAGAGAGAAAGTGAGGAGGGAGCGAGAAAGCAAAGGCGCACCCGGGGAAATAGCTGCACAGTCCGGCCCCGGAGCACCAGGCGCATACATTCGAGCACACTCCCACTCGCACGCACACTCACGCGCACACTTCAACCCCTCCTCCGGACCCCGACCCTGGACCCGCGAGCGCGGACTGGGTCGCCAACCCAGAGAGCCGGTGCACAGAGCGCGCCGCGCCTGCCCCCTTCGCGCCCCCACGCGCGCCTGGCTGGAGGATCTCCTCCGCGTGCCCGAAAGGGGATATGCCATTTGGACATGTAATTGTCAGCACGGGATCTGAGACTTCCAAAAAATGAAGCTGGCGACAGGACTGTGGGTCTGGGTGAGCCTTCTCTTGGCTGCAGGGACCGTCCAGCCCAGCGCTTCTCAATCAGGTGGGTCGCGGTTCCTTCTCGCGCTCCAGCTGTTGAACCTGCTTGCCGCCTGCTTGGCTGTCTCGTGTGATGTGGCTCCCTCGTTCTCTTTACCCATCCCGATACCCACTCCCTCCCAGGCGTTGGAGGGACCGCTCGACCAGGGCCTCTTGCTTGGGCTTTCGGTCGCTCCTCTCTCCATCCCAAACTTACCTTGTATTTGTGTGTATGTATTTTATTTATCGTGAAAAATTACTCTGTGCCTCTGTTCCTTTCCCCCACTCTGTTCTTAACCTTCTTGTTTCTCTCTCGCGCGTTTTCTGTGCGCCTGAGCGGGATCCCTTCTAGTCGTGCCTGTTGTTCAGGACATGGGAAACCCAGACCCCTCAGAGGAGACTGCACTCTCCCTCTCAGGGCCCTGGAGGGAGGCAACCTCAGAGAAGAGCGCACCTCGGAGGCTGCTGAAAGGCTGGGGTCACGGGGCTGATCTTGCTGAGCCCCTCCTGAGAGAAGGCTGTGAGAGTGGAGCGACTAGAGCCGGGCTTTGCACCTGTATAGACGGTCGCTGCGCCCCCAATCGCCAGAGCTTTGCGGGGTCAGATGTGACAAGAACCCAGCCTGGGCAGCTGGATCTCAGCGGGCGGGCGCGCCTCGGCCTGGGGCCGGGAGCTCTGGGCTTCCTTGGTCAGCGTCCCAGAGCTCTCGCCCGACTGACTTGAGGGACGCTTGCTTGCCTGATTGACCTCTTTAAGGAAAAAAGAAAAAAGGGGGGGTGGGGGAGGTGGCACAGTGGAACTAAGAGCCGGGCCTTCCAGTCGGTTGCTGTGTTTGGCTTCAGGAAGAGTTCTTCCTGTAGTTCAACTTGCTATTGGCCGGAGTCCCTCCAACTTCTGTTTACTGCCCGGTCCGGTTGCGGAGCCTGCCGGTCGCGCGAATTGATTTAACCCGAGGCAGGCGCGGCGGCAGCGCTGGGTGCATGGTCACTGTTTGCTGGAGATCTTGAGCCCCAGGTATTTGGACAGGCCAAGGGCTAATTGACCCAGAGACGCCAAACAGTGGGGCTGGCGCGACGCGGCGGGCAGGGCTAATGACAGCACCTGCAGTGAGAGGGAGCTCAAAGTTTCTGGCACTTTGAGTTTCCTGGGGATAAAAGTGGGACCGGACAGGACTGAGGAGAATCGGTGTCTGCCGCGGCCAAGGGGAGGCTTTTGGAGTGGCAGGAAGATTTCCGGAACCATCCAGGGCTGGTGGTGGGAGCGTGGGAGGCAGTTCGAGGAGATAAAAGCCTCCGGGACTGGCGATAGGGAGAGCTTTAGGCCCCCGGAGGGTGTCCTTCTGACCTCACCAAGAAAACAGTGCGCGGTAGTTTTCCCGCTCCGCCCCCGCCATAACCCCCACCCCCCGCCTAGTAAATAACAAGTTACAGTCATTGAGCCTTTCAAAATGACCTTCGAAAGGCACTGTGCGACATTTGTGCAGGCCGTTCGCACCCTCCCAATTACTTCGAAATTCTTCATGCATACCAGGTCCCGCGCTCCACCACCTCAAGAATCACACCAACTTGGACTTGAGATGCCAGGAGGCCTCTTAGATACATCCCTTTTCATCTCCCTCCGCACCCCGAGTCCCTTCATATTTTCCCTCAATGGGTTGATTATGCACATTGACCCATTCAAAAGCAGTTGCGACTGACACGCAGGCTTAGCCGAGAGGAATTTCTACGAGGCGACCTACTGGGGGCTGTCTGGTTCAGCCCTGCCGCTGGGGGACCCAGCTCCGAGTCCGCAGCAATTTGGTATTAACTGTGCGGCTCCGGGTCCAGCTATGCCTAAAAGCCCTTTTCAGAATTTCTGCAAGGAATGTAATCCAAATTAGTTCTGCAGCTGTCCTCTTCCTCGTCTCAGGCGACACCAGCTCGCGCCCTTGCTAGTCTCTTCTCCTTTCCCTGGGCGAATCGTCAGACCCACAAGTGAGCCCATTTAGAGCGCGAGGATTAGCGTGCTATTGTTGTTCCGTGTGTGAGTGACTCTGTACTTGAAATTCTGGGGGCACAAAAGCGAGCCTCACTTGTTCAAAACACAAAGTGATCTAGATGAAAGGGCCGCACAAAGGAAAGCTCTCGGGTGCATCCCTGGCATAATTGCAACACGCATACTAAGGTGATCCTTTGGAAACTGTAAATGCCCCCGGGGACTTTTTTTTTTTTTTTTTTTCAGTTCTCCTCCACCTGGCAGGGAAAGTTTAGCTGGTTTTAACGTAGTGCTATTATAAAAACAAGTTGCTCTCTGGGGTGTGTGGCGCTGTATGTTTGTGCCTGCGTATGTGTGTGGCTGTGTTTTCCCAAGTAAATACGTATCGCGCGTCTCCCCTCTCTCGGTTAGCAGTCAGTAGCAGTTTGGAGGAGTTTGTTTTGGTCCAAATGAGAAATTAAGTGCGGATAAGTAAACTAAGCTGCCAGAGGGCGACAAGATGTTGAGTGAATTGCTTTTAGATGAAACAAATTAAGGAAACGAGGGAAGACAATCTGCTTCTCGCATTATTAGACACGCTTGGAGTTCAGGGGAAAGTGGCATATTTTTGAAATGCTAATTTTTTAAGCAGAAGGAATGCACCTTATTTACTGCTCTATGTGAACAGAATAAAATTGTAGGGTGGGGGATTCTGTTATCTAGATATTTATTAGAAAAATGTAACAAGAGATTTTTTTAAAAAAATGGACTTGGGAAAAAATCAGCTTTAGAGGATTTTTTTTTTTTTTAATTCTGAAGGACTTTGTCTCATTTCTAGTGATTCATTTTATCTGCAACATTATAGCCAAAGGCCATTTATATGGCAATTATAAAGCCTTTACCACTCTAAGAAATGCTTCTAAAATTTGTCGTCTTCTTTTGATGGGAAAATATCAATATTACCTTTGTATTGAAATAAAATATATAATGGTATTGAAGTGTCACTCTTGCAGACATTAATAAATATGTGATGAACAAATAGAGTTCCCATTTCTTATTTGCAGGGAACCCAGTCCAGCTTTCATTTTTATAAAAGAACATCATCTTTCCTATATATATTAAAGCTATATTATTGTACCTCCAAATTTAGGGTTGATTTTTACATATGCAAAGAAAATGTCCTAAAACTTAAATGGCACAAAAAGATGTTAAATATATTTTCAAATAGCATCAGTCCTTTTTTTTCTTACGTGTGTTTACTTCAAGCACAGGCATGAATACACTATTCCCTATCTTCTTTTAATTTGAAATTCTTATATATGTAAAAGAGCTTTGTACAAGAAGGTATTTTTCTCTTCAGGATACTGCTAAATAAATTAATACCTATTATAACTGTAAATTAGTTGAAAATGCTGTTACTTTGTATTGTTATGATGAAATGGAATAACTGGTTGTGTCATGGTTCCTATTTTTCCCCCTTAAATTCAACTGCCCTTATTTCAATCATGCATGCATAGAAAGTCATTTTTTTTGAAAATCAAGGCACTTATGGAGCTATATATATATATATATATATATATATATATATATATATATTTCATTTAGTCACTGGAAATGTGTCTTAATTAAGAAATTACATTAGAATATTTACCAAGGCATGTACTTCATGGAAGATTTATGTGTTTTTTTTTTCTAACTTGAACACAGTAAGTTAGCATTGGCTGATTTTTAGAGTTTGCATTTATTTGATGGAAAATCATATTTCCTCCTTAAAGTGGATTCAATTATTTAGTATTCATGAGCTTTCATCCCTTTGGTTCTTAAATAGAAGTACTATTTATCTTCTGTCTTTTGCATTCACCCTTTCCATTACTATAGATTCTTTACATCTTATTATTTATTAAGTTTACACATGTGAATATATATTTTCCTTTCTACCACTAAGTGCATTCATTTTTTGTGTGTCTTTCCCAGCAACCTGCCACTCAGCCACTGCAGGAGGAGTCCTCTGAGCCAGTTTTCATTCTCTCTTTCTGATAAATCTGATATGGCTGGTTGGCTGAACAATTGCAAGCCATTCCATTGCTCAGATTTATTCCTGAAAGAAAATAAAACGGCATCGATCCAAGATCACTAGCACATCTTAAAAGCCCTTACTCCAAGGCCAAATCTTTCCAGAGAAAAGTTCCTCTGTACCAGTTCTCTCTCTTACTTCCCTCCTCTTGACCAAGGAAAGAAGGTGGACAGCTGTCATTTGAAAAATGCTAGTGATGCATGGAATTGTGCTCTTTCTATGTATTTTCTGAAACATACTGATTAAAGCCATCTTGAGATTAATGGCTATGTAAGGTGAACATTTTCTGCAATAAGTTGAATTAGGATGACTTGAATTATTGCAGTGCTACAAAGTGATGTCATTTTTGTATTATGTCAAATGAGTTATTGAGAAGATTTAGCATATATTTTAAAAATAGCAGTAAGTTTTGTCTTTATTGTGTCCTGTGGCTGTTGGATGTCCATGTGTGATTTGTAAAATACCTAAAGCATAAATGAAGCAAATCAACAAAGAGGAAGTTCTGTTACTTCCAAACTTGTTCATGTTTGCTTTGTTTAACTTCATCCTTTTGAGAGATACTGCTTTTATAGAGGTGTTAATGTTTACATTGAAATTAGCCCATATATGTTCAAGTCTACAAAAATTGACAAGACTATTTTGCTATTGTCTTTACAATGATCCACTGAATATGCCATGGAGGATAGAAGTTAATACTATTACCAACTTTTCTACAAATTATATTATCATTTTAGAGATGTTCTATTATGTTAACATATCACCATTTAGAATCAAATCACATTATTTATCTAATACTAATATTCTGAAGTATTATAACATTGGGCAGAATAAATCCTTACTTTACATGATTTCTAAGACCGCTATCAAGTGAAGTTTACAGTTTATAATGAAAGACACTTGATTTCCTATTTATTTTGAGTAAAAAGATCTTAGACCAATGTTGAAACTATAGCTCTTCTACATAACTTGAAGGAGACCTTAGCAGACTGTTTTGTGGTTATGTGCATCACAGGACACAGCCATGTGGTTTATATTAGGATTTCTACATTCTAGGGACAGTTCTTCCAAATGCTTCTTAATACCTTAAGCAACTCACTCCATCTCTTTGTGACTTTCCTGGTCTTCCTGGTGGGGGGCAGCAGTGGGGGAGAATGTAAGTAATTCACTGTTTTTCCACTGTATAACAGTTTTCAGAAAAAAAAAAGTTTAAAATCTGTGATAATAAGACACATTCCAGTAACAAGTTAATTGTTTTCATACATGTAATTCAAATTGCTCTATATTTTGAAACATGTACATATGTTAATAAACATAACATAAACTTTCTAGCAGGCCATCTCTATCAGAAATGTATGGCTAAAGAAATAAAGAGATCATTGACTGTACACCATTTGTATTTAAAGACTATTTCCTAAAAATATTACTTTTCAGAATTGTTCTATGGTCTCTTTAGATTTCATTGTACACTTTCCCCCCTCTGAGTTGTTGGTAATTCTGACATGTTTTATTAAATAGATTGACCCATTTTTCCATGCTTTAATAAAAAGCTTTAAAGACCCTTTCTTCATATTTGGTACTTAAACTAGTGCTTTGTAGTTTGACAAAGAAGAGATCTATCTCATTTGATGACAGTTGAAAATGAAGATGTTTTGGGAACTAAAGAGGTCCTTTTTTTTTTTTTTTTTTTGACAATGTAATAAGTTCATAGTTATTTTTATTTTGTAAAAGTGACTGCTCTACATTCCCATCATTTTGCACAACTCCAGGGGGCAGTAGCCACATATAGTTTAATAGAAATGGGGCATGCCTGTACTGTGGGTAGTGTGGCAGCAGACCTGCTGGTGTGTGCTAGTGAATAAAGCACCAAAGTAAACATTAGGAGATCTGGATTCTGGCACAATCACTTGCGGTATGATCTTGGGATAGACTCCTTGCCTCTGTCTCAATTTACTCATCTCTATTAATTTAGCTAAAAATTGTATCTAAATTATTACCATCCTGAATATTCTAATGATTCAGTTAGAGAGAAAAATGGTGCTTAGACATTTTAGGGGAAAAATGCTTTGGTTTTGAATTATTTTTGTAAGTGGACCTCTTTTTTTTCAAGTGAATTCATACATGTAGTCGAGTATGGAAAACACGCTTTTACCTCCTTTTGGGTCAAAGGAAATCTGCTTTTGTTAAAGCTGCAGAGAGAGGCCAGCTTTGTGGCCCCTGCTTTTGGGCCTTTGACATTTTCCCACTTTGTTCCACTGCCCCCTCTACACACTTGCACTGGCTTTACCCATGTAAAGTCTAGCACCATTTAGAAGGTACTGATCTAGTCTAGTCCTCTTCATTTCTAAGTGATGTGACTAGAAGCCAGCTGGGCAGTTAAGTGAAATAATTTAGTGGCAGCTCCTGCCCAGTTGTTGTTTTCTACAAAATGCATGGAAGTACTTGAAAAGTCATAGCCTTTTAAAGGATAAATAATAGGTTGTTTTAAAAGACAATTGTAAAAATTGAGATATATTGGATTCACAGGCCTAATTAGTGTACCGTATAGTTCATTTCAAAGGGAAGACTGTGAATCATCATTATCATATTTAATTTATTTTTAGGACATAATCATTAATTGCATTTTAAAATTATGACATATTGAAAAAGTAAGAAATGGAGCACTTTTTGCTAACTGCAATGTCTTTACCTGGTTAAGCCTATTTTGGACATAGAATTTTGACCTTAAAAATAACATACAAAGCCAGGCACTATGGTGCACACCTATAATACCAGTGACTCAGGAGGCTGAGGGAGGAGGATCTCGAGTTCAAAGCCAGCCTCAGCAAAAAAGGAGGCACTGAGCAACTCAGTGAGACCCTGTCTCTAAATAAAATACAGAATAGGGCTGGGGATGTAGCTCAGTGTCCAAGTGCCCTGAGTTCAATCCCTGGTACTGCCTCCCCCCCCCAAAAAAAAAAAAAAAAACATATAAGCATCCCATATTAGTGTGTGATATAATAGAACTAGATTTTTTTAACCTGAGACTTTATGAAGATGACTACATAGTAGAGAATGATTGTTTCCCTAATCCAGAATAAGTTATATATGTACTTAAAATGGATTATAAAGGGTAACTGGTTAATTCCTCATTATTACTTAGCTGGTGCAGACTATTTATCAGTAAAACCAAGGGAATACTTGTCTAGGCCCATCCTTGAATCTAAGATTCTTTATCATTTCTACTCTCTTTGTTGATCCCTCTTATTTCTTCAGGTCCCCATTAAACATAGTTGCATTCTTTGAATAAATATATAATCAAAGCTTTAAGCACCAAGACTTTATGAATTTATTTTTATGTCACTTTTGCCTTCCTCTAGTTGGAGTCTGCAAGATACTTCCAGTGTCCCTTGTGATTTGGCAATGCAGTTGATCCAGCCTTAACGCTGTCTAGTCATGGCTGAGTTCCCTCAAGTGTCTGTGCTTTCTTGGGCATGATAGTATTCTCATGCACCCTATTGACAGAGGGAGATTGGAAACTCGTTTTGGCAGGGAGAATCACTCCCTGTTAGGAAATGGAGATGAAAATGGCTCCCCCCATAAAAGATTAACGTAGATACCATCGAACTTTGGGCCACATCATTAAACCTCTCCCTGGAGAAGAGGTTCACCGTCATTACTCTAAATCATATTATTTCCAATATCGTAGAGGTCACTGAAGCATACTAAATACCAATAAGAACATGTGAGATCCAGTTTCTGAATCCAGGGAGTTAAAGAAATAGAAATCAAGGCCATAAGAGTGTGTGTGTGAGAGTGTGCTAAGTCTACACAGCTTCCCACTTTGAAACATAGTTTAAAGATGTTTAAAGAGGAGAAAATGAATGATGCAATAACCACTCATTTATTTTCCAGAAAGATCAGACTTGTAAACCACCAGTTTCACTTGCTAAATCTTTATTACTCTTCTGACCTTTACTTATATCTGTTTTCATGTGCATCTGGTATAAGTGCATATCCAAGTGTTAACCCTTTAGAATACAATAGGGATCATATACCTGCCTTCAAAAAACACATCTGCTGGTTTTCTAGCTTTAACTGAGTCTATCTCATGGCTGCTTAGGACTGAAGAAACAATGGAAACTGAGGCTGCAGGGTCTGTGACTGCATCTAGTAGGGCTTAGACAATAGCTTATGCAGTCCTCTCTTTCAGGATGGGTCCCCCATCACTAGCAGGGGGTGTATAATAGAGGTCATGAATGGCACTGACTATTTTGCTCTTGACAAACTCTCCTTTTGCAAAAATCTTTGTTTGTCATCATTTGCTCTTCATCCCTGTAGGCTTAAAGATTATGAGAATATGAGTTTTCTTTCTATAGGGACCTATGAAAACCAAATAAAAATAAAATAATGATTTTTTTTTTAGACCTACACTTGTTTTTTTAGGAATTCCTTTGATTGTTTTGTCTACAACTACAGCAGGTAAACAAGTTAATTCATTTTAAAGAAAACTGACGGCCTGGGATATTAAAATCTTCTCCCTAAGATTGTTTACAAAGTCTTATAATCCCTTAGATTCTTCAGTGCAGGAGTATTGCAAGCTCCTCTTTACTACCTTCTGTGTTACCTGTCCTCTACTTCTAAGACCTCCATTCCTGTCACTGCCAGATGATCCTCTCTACTATACTACATTTATTGTCTAAAATATTCAGTGGACCCCACTGTGAAGTCAGAACCTGCTAAAGTCATTGTCAAATTTTTTAGTGTGGCCTTAGAGTCTAAGATGTCTTCTGTGTAAGCACTAGGTTGATTAGTGAATGTTCTATGACTATACAATGCTCAATGTCTTTACTTGTACTGATTCCTTTTTCTGAATTCATAGCTTGCTTGGTATCTCTGCCTGACCAGACTGTTGAATCTGTTAAGTTTTCCTTTGGATTATGCCTCTTCATTACATCTGCCTTCACCGATTATTGTAGCCTATAATCCTTATCAATATCACTACCATTTACTTAATCTAAACTGTCCTATTATTTTCACTCTTCAAGTGAGATTTTGTCCTCTGTTGGAGACTAATGTGGTACCCACATACATAGTAAGCACTTTAAAAATATTTTTTAAATGAAAGAATAACATACATTTGCCAGAACAATTTTAAGCTCATTCATGGATAGTTATTATTTGTAATTAAACCATATAGTGTACAAAGTAAGCTCCTCTAAAACATAATTATAGAATTCTTAATAATAGATATTAGGCATGTTTACCCTGGGAATTTCTTTAGTTGCTTTCTTGAGCTTCCTAGGGTATTTCTTCAAATGGAGTGTTTCCAAGACTATAGCATTTGTCCCCATGCCCATTTTTAGTGTGCTTATAATATGGTACAAAGTATTTCTGTTGGTTTTATTTTTGGCAAGGCAAATAAATGTGAATACCATTCCTAAATGTAACTGTGTTATAGTCTACTATTTTTATAATATGGCCATTGTATTACTTTATCTTATCTCCCATTTGAAAATTTTAATTGATTTAAATAATAAGCATTTTTTGACCCCTCAGGACCATGTTAGGAACTAAGGAAGGGATACAAAAATATCAAGATGCCATTTTTTTTTGTTTTAAAAAGGCATCGACAAGACCGATAAGATACAATATAAAAATGTTATTAAGTGATTTTGCAAATTCTTGGGAGAAATATTTGCCTTTAGAGAAATGCTAGTATTTCATGACAAAAAGGATTCCAGACAGAATCTAGTATTTTCTATTCCTGAATATATGTGATAATACAACTTTTTATAACTAAGATTTCTCAGCATCTTAAAATAGACAACTAAACATATCCTTACCACTTTATAAAACCCTATAAAGGAAGCATTTGCAGTGTAACTGAACAGAGAGGTGATGGGGATTCTCTTAGCTGCTCTTTTAGATGATTCTCTCTGCATTCTAAAAATTGGTGAAATGGTTGTAGTATTTATAGAGTCAGACTCTACCAGGAAAATGTTGATCTAGCTATTTTTTCTCAGGTTATCAGATTCTAAGCAACTGTCAATCTATCTGGGCCACTAGGGTGCACTCATTGTATCTTAGTTTATAATTGCCTGAAAGAGTTAATGTAACTTTTCAACTGTCTGCAGAGCAATCTAGTAATGAAAGAACCAAGCATGGAGATGTTGACATCTCTCTTCTAAGGTTCTTTTAAATTTTTCTTGATTTTGTTGTTGTTGTTGTTTTGCTTGAAGAATCCATGAGCAGGATGTTTGGGTCAGGGATTGTTGTTCTACTTTGTAGATGAGGAAATAGAAATGTAAAGGAGTAAGTCTGACAGGTGTATCAGTCTAGTGTATTTATGCATGTGTGCCCTGTCCTGAGAGCCAGCTGGCTTGGCCTTCTGCTTGTCAGCCTCTTGTGTGCCATCCTCACAGCTGCAAAAGCTAGTGATGCTTCCCAAAGGCATGACTTCTCTACTGTACCTGCCCAATGAGCAGAAAAGCCATGTTTAGCACACCAGACTCTTCTGCCTTCAGGTCAGCAGCTCTTTTTGCTTTCCTGTTTGTCTAATAAATCTATCAGTAAGGAGTCCTGTTTAAGGTCAGTCTGTATTTTCCCTCCTCCCTTGTATTCTCTACATCTTTCTCTCTCTTTGCATTGTGTATGTTAAGGAAACCATCACACAGCCATTTTTTTTTCTTTTCCAGAAAACTTCAAAGCAGGGTCTTTTGCAAGATTTTTGGACCTGCCTTTATATAGTTTGGGGAAACTATTTAAAATTTTTCTTGAGATAGAAATACAAGTTAGGTAAAGGTCCTTGGAAATTGTCGATGCAGCAGAGGGTCTCTGAAGCTGAAGCCTTTTAAAAAACATTATGGTAAATCTGCCTATGTTTGAAAATTTTACTTTTTAGGAAGTAATATTGCCCTTTTAACTATGAAGTTTGGGTGTCATTACATAATTTTCTCCTTAAATGTATAGAGTTACTGTCTCTTATTAATGTAAAAGAATGCATTTCTTCAAGAAGAAACTTATTATATGCCATGAAAGCAAACCATGAAGGACTTCAGTATGTCTTTGTGTAAAATAATGTACCGCATAGAGATAATTTTCAGAATATTTTGTAAGTACAAACATCTGGTTTTTGACATCAAATTTCAAAATGGGTCATGTGATAATGTCTCTTACACAAGTTTGTGGTTTTTTTTAGTTGTAAATGGACACAATATCTTTATTTTATTTGTTTAATGTGGTGCATAGGATCGAACCCAGGGTCTCGCACGTGCTAGGTGAGCACTCTATCGCTGAACCACAACCTCAGCCCTGTGATTTTAATATTGGGATGTGACTGAAAGGAGTTGTGCTGGTTCTGGAATGTAACAGCTATGTTGTTAAGATCCTATTCCCTAAAATGTAGCTCATTAGATTTTTGATCATTTGTTCTTTAGTATGACTAAAAGTCTATCTTTGACTTTTACCCTCTGGCTAAGTTAAATGTGGCCATTTTAGCTACAATTGACATTATTACTAGCAGTGAATTAAACAATGCATCTAAATTAAAATCAGTACTGAGCACAGATCTTTGGTGATATTTTTAAGTAATATATTAACACATTTGAGAAACAATAAAAAGATTAGCATTTCAAGGCATACTTTTACTATGTAAAAATATCAGCTAAATAGTTAATATTTCCCAGTTGTTAACTCAAAATTAGCATCCCATTGTCCCTGGTGATATATTGAAACCTCTAAGAATGTACTTGGAATTAATGGAAACTGAGGTGATTGGTATTCAGATATAATGCCTTAGTGGACTTTTTTCTTTCTTTCTTTTAAGTACAAGATGAAAATTGAAAGTATGAAAGGCTTTGAGATAAATGGAAATAGACAAAACATTTTATGCAACTGTTGGTGAAAGGGGCATTCATTATTTTTGCTGAGCGTACTCTATTGCTTGTGGACAGAATTAGCACACATAAGCCAGAGAAAGAGATAAGACAAACAGAATGGCATGTAGCTAATTTTGTTTAGCAAATTTAGATCTGTTGCATGCTATTTCACTCCTACAAACTGACTCTGTCTTTCTTTGAAAGGTACAGATGAAGTTTGTCTCCCACATCTTAACAGCTTTCACTCAATATTTATAGACTACATAAAAATAAATTTCTCTAAGTACCATATTTCTCACTGACAGGATGAGTACTGTGAAGGTAGATTTATTAGTGAGAAAATAAAAAAAGAAAAAAACCAAAAACATTTCTCTTGTTTTAGGAGTGCAGAAAATAAAATATGTCAAGGTATCCAAAATATCTTTGTTTCAAGGACATATATATTGGAATGATAATATTCAAGGATTTTTATTATTTGTGAGTGAGTCAGAAATCCCATTATTTTATGATATCTCTAACTAGTAATTCATCTGACATTTGAGCCTATAGGATGCAATCCTCTGTAATTATTAAGAAGTCACTTAGATCATAGTCCACAAACCCACAAACCTTAGTCTGTGTGGAAAAATACTATCATTCTATAGAATAAATTTCAGTGAAATTTCTAAATGGGGCTACTTGGGTGAGAAAATGATCACAAGACATGTGACACTTGATGGAAATGTGATTCTAGAAAAAGCCAGGAATTTGTAAATTAATGTTCATATTTGGGAATATCTCAAGATAGGTTTCTAATGATCTTTTTACACAGTGAATTATATGATATGGTATCCAAAGAGATGTAGTGTTATTTATATATCTGCTAGACCTTTGTCATGGTGCAAGACTACATTCTCCATAATCAAGCTCACTGTAGAGAATAATTCTCATATTCATGAGTTGTTCATCTCATCTTGTTGCCAGTGGTTATTTCAAGGTTAATTTTTTTCAGACAGTGTCTCTCTTGATTAAGGTCTGTAGTAACTGTATATGTGCTGCTATAGCATATGAAGGTTTTAAACTTGAAGACATATTTGATTTCATATCAATTCAAGATCAAATGCTTATCAATGCCTCCTGCTTAAAGACACAAAAAGTAATTTTATTGTTAATTTTTTATTTCTACTAGGAATGTGGAGACTTGTGTTTGACATTTTCACAATCCTCTAAACACTTTTATAGGTTATGATGAAAAAGTATATTCCATTACCAGGAATATGTTTCTTAGATTTTACTGATTGTTTAAATATTGAAATATTTTATACCTTACCTAATTGGATTTCGGAGGCCACTATCATGGAATCCTTACCTCAGACTTATCCTGATCAAACAACTGAAGAGTTAACACCCAGCAGCACCAAATCTCTCCTTTGGCATATGCTGTGATCCATTCTGATGTACCTTGAACATTTTATAGCTACTAAACATTATGAATATTACCCTTACACATTAACAAAAGATTTGTCGTGTTTTAAAATAGTAGAAATATGAATAATGTCATACTAACTTTGTAACACTTTAAACAGTTTAAGGAATGCATGTATCTATGTTAAGCATACACAGCGTAGATACTTATTGAAGTTTCAAAGGACATGATTTAAATAATGTTACAGGTCCATAGGCTGAAAATCAGATGAGTGAGAGAAACCAAAAGACCCCAGTTTGGATATGTATTTACAAAAGAATTATGTCACAGTACTTCTTTTGAAGAATGATTGAAGAAGTAAAGGCCTGGAGAAGAAGAGTCTTGGGGTGAGACATAACTGTCTTCCATAGTTGGAGGGCTGTTACATATAAGAGGGATTAGCACTGTTCTCTGTAGCCTTGGAGAACAGAAACATTGACAGCTGTTTGAAATTGTAAGGCATCCGATTTCAGTTGAAACCATCAAGGGGTTTCCAATAGCTAGAGCTTCCCAGAGCTGGAGTGGCCTGTCCCAGAAGGCAGTGTGTTCCTTCATGTGTGGGGTGGTAAGCTCTGATCTAACCTCTTCTGTGACTCTAAGGAGTGAATGAGGCAGCTGAGGAACAACTGGTCAGCGGTGTTGGGTTGGGCTCCATGACTTCTGAGAGCCCTTCCTTCCTGAGCCTCTGTCACATGCACATCAAGGCCACATATGCTTTCTGAATCACTGAAAAAATAAAGGTGAAACACAAATTCCATGTTGTCATGGCTAGGCTTCCCAACCAGTTGATTTTCACCATCTTGCCTGCTCTGTACACTAGAGGATTTGTATTTTTCAAAGAGTTTTTTTTTAATTGTCAAATATTTTGTTCTTATTGTTTACTTGACAGTTTAATTTAAAACATTCACATCCATCTGATGTAATGCATAATCACCAATTCATTCTTAATTAAAAAATTTAGAACAAAAGTATATGAGCTTTACACACACACACACACACACACAAACACACAAACACACACACACTTCATTGTGTTTCTGAGTTTATGATAGCAAGTACTTGTAAATCTGGCTCTAACTAAACAGGAAGCAGAAATATATAGGAAGGTGGGGACATAGGCAGAGGAGGGAATTTAAAAAATCCAGCCTGCAGTTGTGAGTGGGAGGGAAATCACAGCAAATGAAGAACTTTCCTAAATGGATTGAAAATCAAACGAATATAAAAAGATAAAGGTACATATGCATGCCTGACTTAATTACAAATGTAATAGAAGTCTGTTATTTAGAAATACTTCAAGAGTTTTGACATTTCAATCTTTTACTGCCACTTCTGGGTCTCTACTGTCAGATAAACTTTGAACACAATGTTTTGCTGTTTTCTTTTGTCTCTTTTCTTTTAAAATACTTTAAGTTTCCCTTGTATAAACATGGCATTTCTGTTACATACTGTCTTCTGCTTTGGTTTTTCTGATGTACCACGTCTCCTCATATCCGTGTCTATATTAATTTCGTTGCCTCTTCAAACTCCTTAACTTTATCTATACTTCAATGCATTACCTCCAGTGCTCCTTATAACCTGCAGAGTAGAGGGGTATGAATCCTCTTTCATGGATAAAGAAACTGAGACTTAGAAGTACATATTTGGCCAAATCACACAGCTACTTCTCAGCATAGGAAATATTCTGATGATCAGTTTGACTGTTGTTTGTTTTACATCAGATATATTTTGGTTCTATGTCCTTAAAGGCAAAGATGAAGACATCCCTCTAAATAAGAGAAAGGTCTTTTGGAGCTCCTACCTAAGCTCATCCTCTTCACGACATTTGGCTGAGTTATGAGATCTCTTCAGTTGTCTCATCTCTCTTAGACTATTTTGAGCTCTTGCCCCACTATAGAGCTCTCATCCTTCCTGTTTCTTCCATTTGGATATGCCATGGTGTCTTCAACTCAAACTATCCAACATTTTCCTCTTGGCTTTCACAATTTAATGTGCTTTTCTTATCTTAATTGGTATTCACTTCTGTAAACCCCAAATTAATGGCACACACCTGTTCAGGTGGCCAATCAGCAATGCCTAAGCTCCTAGTAATTCCAAATATCAATACTGTATATATGAAAATAAACTGAAACTCCCCAAAAGTATCTTAAGTCTGAGATCATGGACTTTACCTTTCTCATAATTTGAACATGAATTTGTGTCCTCTATGTTTATAAACAGGAGATGGAATAATGGTTTGCAGAATAATTCTATACCTGTACTGGCGTGAGCAGTGAAAGTGGGTTCTTTGGGGAAGAATTTGACTCTCTCTGAGGAACAGTTTTCTCAAATCATTTTTCCTTCATATTCTGTTTTTATAGTTTCAGTATTAAAAAAAAACTGTAGAGAGACAGTTTTGTTCCAAAGATTTATGTTTACCTGGCAAACTCAGATCCTGTCCTTTCATGCTTATTGTTTTTTAAAGTGCCTTCAAGAGAAAATGGTTTTAATCAAATTCATGAGATAACTTTTTATGTTATATTTTATAGGCATTTAAACTTTTCAAGATAGGACCAACTAATATAATGTATGGTTGAATGTATTTTTGGAAAAAATTCTGCATGCCAGAGCTGAACGTATTTCTGGAAACATTTCTGCATGCTAGAGAAAACCTGAAGATCTATGTACAAACGGTGAACAGATTTTGCCACATAGAATATAATCAGTAAATTGTTGTGATTATTAAATGTTTTCCTGTATTATGTTTTTTACACATTTATTTAGACAGTTAAGGAATTGGGTAAAGGCTGTGTGTGACATTGTGATGATTTTAGTTCACAGAGCTCTTCCATAGTACCTACTTGCTGATTCGTATTCTTGTACTGAAAATCTTACAAGCTTAGAGGTATCCCTAATGGGAATGAAGTTACAGCTCTTCTAATGTTGCCTGCTTGCTTTTCCAGAACAACCTCACAATCCCTATAGCTAGTGAATCAGGTTTTTTAAAAAGTTGTTTTTCCTATTTACCAATGTGGAAACCTTCCAGGATGCTGTGAATTGCTCATTTGACAAAACGTAAACATGAGTTTAAAAAACAGGATATTATCCTTAGCCCAAGAGGTAGGTACAGATTTTGAGTATGAGCTCCACTACTTGTCATTATCTTATTCAGCTGACAGGTGGTGCTCCAGAACAGTATGGGCAGTGAGAATGTATGATTAGATTCCTATCAGAATTTTTGAGCAAATCAGGTGCTGAACTCTTAAAGACCCCTTAACATATAGTTGAATTACTATACATTTTAGATGGAAGGATAGTAACCCAACAAAATCACCGTCACATGGAAAACTTTCTTAAATTTTTAAAGTTGCAGTCATTGACCTTGACGGATCTCAAGATTTCACATAGCTTCAACAATCTGTCTTACTTTAATGCAAATGAATAATTTGGGATATTGAACTACAAAGAATGTCATTTTCCCCAGATTCCTCTGTTGATTCTGTTATTGTTGTTATTATGATATTCTATTAATTTAGAAAAGTTTTTAACAACATAGTTTAACACAAAGATGTATAAGAATGTATTAATCTAATCAGGATGTCCTGATTTATTTAAAATGAAGCTATACAAGTTGACCAAACTCTTATGAATGCACTTCATTAGTGACAATAATTGTTAACTATGGTAACCCTTCACTGGATACTTGGTGGTGTGATTTAGATTAGTCCTGTTCTGTGATGAGGGTATCGAGGTAAGAGAGTAATGCATTCAAGGTTTGAGTTTAAAGAAAGACAGTAGACAATAGAGTTTATGAGAGAAGCAGGGCTACTGAGCAGGGTAAGCTAGACTGCTTAGGTGAAATGGCAACCCTATAGCATTTAGTCTGCCTTTCTTTCCTTTATCTCAGTTCATGCTGGCTTCTGTTGTAGATTCTGTTGTCTTCCACCCTTGAGTGGTCCTAAGTGCACCTATGAATCAGGAACCAACTCCTGCTCCCACAGAGCATTCTTAGTTTTTCTCTTCTGGTGAATTTGCTACTTAATAACCAATCCAGAGAGTGTCTTTCCACACCCTCTGTATTGCTATCAGTTTTGTTATTAATTTTGTCTTTCTGATTTAAAACACACCATTGCAATTTTCAAGTTCTGTTGTGTGTGTTAGAGTTCCATGTATTTATGAAATAACACTTTGCCCCAGCCCCTACCATTAACTAGTAAAGCTGCTTTCTTCTTTACTACTGATACATGTTGGAGAATTTGCCATGATTCTAATGTGTCACTGATTTCTTCCAAGTAGTGATTTGATATTCATACCACTCTGTGTGAAGCACTTTGGATTGTTAATTTTTAATTTCTATCAGGACAGGATTCTGTTAACAGCTGAAAGTAGTTTGGGCATGGCCCTCACAGCATGGAAAACAAAGTTGCCATGGTGGTATCTAACATCCTAACCGGAAGACAAAAGAGAAAGGTCTGTACTTTTGCTGAATGAATTTAGTTTTTAATTTATTATGTTTAATAAAGTTTGACACTATTGAAGGAAAAATACCATATTCTGACTTTCTCATATTTAGCTTCTGAAAGTTAACAAACTGTAACATTCCTAAAATTTTACAAATATTCTTCCAGAATTTGATTTTTTGTTCTTAGTTTTAGCAAGTATGTAAAATTGGGTTGTTTTTGGAAATATCTGCCTGAAATCAATGGTGCTTGAGTGTAAAAAAAAATCAAAGATCCCTAAAGTGAATTATTTTCATGAGATTTTAGTGTGACCAATTTCAAATGGCCATTTTTTTTTACCTTTTATCATTTCATGTCACACAGTAGCTTTAACATCACTTTATACCAATATAGCCATGACGGTTTTGCAGTTGTTCTAAAAAGTGGTTGAAAAGTTGAGTTGCTTAAATATTAGTATACTTAAAGTAGTTGCATAAAATTTGAGTCTGTAGTTTGCCATGTTTCTTTTCTAATTGTAATAGGATTTTTAAATTATTAAATAGCATTTGTTGAACTTTTTGAAAAATTTAGTTATGAACAGCCTATTAAAGCAGGCGCTGTAAGATCTTCATCTTAGTGTCAGATCACTTAGTGTCTCTGGATTTATGTGCACTTAGAGAGAAAGAGCAGAGATTTTGTAAATTTTTTTTGTTGTTCATGACTAGTCTAGATTAGGAACCCCAGGGCATGGGATAATTAGGTCACACAGAATCACAGCAGTGGTAGTCCCAAATAACTTTTATTTTTCCAGAGAGATGATAGAACAGCTGTTCCTTTAGATTGTGATCCCTCTTTGGAACAGTCCCAGGACTTGTGAAAGAACTCTTCTCTGTGGTTATTACCCGACATGCAGCTATTCCTGTCCTGTGAACTTACACCCATCCCCTCCACTGCCCTGTGGCCACAGTTCTACCAGCAGGAGTTAGATATGGACGGAGAGGCTGCTTTAGCAGACCCCAGCTGAGTACTCACTCATCTGTGTCAGCTCTTTCTCTTCTTCCAATATTTTGACTCTGAGCAAGCGCATTAACAACTTGGGCTGTTTTCTAAACTACTTGGAAATTATGAATAAGTGAATTGCCAAAGTTGCCCTTTACAACAAATATTAAATTATATCTAGCAGGGGCTTATAGTGCCATAGATGATTTGTTTTTTTATACAAATGTTTTGATTCGTAGTGATTTCACGCACTACTCCTATTCTCTTAGCACATTTGGTTATGCTCTGTAGTTTTTACCAGTATGCAAATGGTGAACTCTATTTAATAGCCTTCTATTAAATGTCTAGCTGTTTCCAAAGAATTTAAGGTGGGTCTTTGTAAACTCTGAGATTAAAATTATACAATTAGTAATTAGAATTAACATTCATTCTTGAATGTAATTTGCAGTGAGGACATTATGGTGGAAAGACTAATTGTTCTTTTATTTATGATTGGAGTCTGACACAATGATTAGAATTACATTTTCTGAGATTATTTGTGTGCGGACTCTGTCCCTTGAAAACAGTAAGCTGAAGTGGTAATTATATAAAATTTCAGTTTCTTATCAGCTAATTCATTAGTTTTTAAGACTGATCAATGGCCAAATAGGTCTATCATATTTTCACCAGAAACTGTGAATTACGTATATATCTCATAGCTGAGAACAATGAAATCTACCTAGATATCTGCACTAATGATACACTTTGAAGTTTTATTTTCTAAGTGTGTCTATATTCAAATAACATATTTTTACAGGTTTAAAACTGACACAGCACCACTCTGTAGGGTTGTGTTGTGTTTTCTCTCATATAGTGTGCAGTGTTTTAATTCTTATAATAACAGGGTTGCTCAGTTTGCCAGCAGGAGGCCCCTCAAAGCAAGATGATGCCTCTCAGTTGGCAGATTTCTGTGTAAATAAATAACACTGCACATTCCTTTTAAATACCTGAGTAAGTGAGATAATGCTATGTAACTTTTTTTTTAATTAAAAAAAACCCCAGCTGTATTATGTCAGTGACCTGTAATAAATAGCACTGCAAGTAGAAGTGACAGCCTCATTCACCTTGCATCCATGCAGAAATAACTGAGCTCTATTTCCATGGCTGGAGGGAGAAGAAGAAAGAAGAGAAGGAAAGAAAAAAACTGACATTGGTTTGCAGTCACTCTCAGGCTAACAAGGGGGAGTTACATGGACAATTTTTACTGCGTTGCATTTACTGCTCAACACATTGCAAGTAACCTCTTGTACTCTAATCATTGGGATAGTCGTTGATGATAATGAAGTGACGGCAATAAACAGTCTTTTGACGTTTTCCTGAATTCTGTGTGTTTTTCTGTTAACCTTTCATCAGTTGGCAAAATATCATACTGAAATTTTTATTGCTGGTTGAGCATAATGATGCAATGATTACAAACACAATTTGGAACAAAGATGGCAATAAATGTTTAAAATTTTCTAATTGTGATAAGACGATATCATCTCCACATCATCCTCTGCTCTCCCTAAATAATGGTAAGTGTAAAGACTGAAATATTAAATATGAAAAGGAAAAGCCAGATGTATACTATAGAGAACACTAAGGCTAAAGCCCATAAATTGTTTCTCAATGAAATTTTAAATATATATGGCAATTTTAAATTTTGACTATATGCAAAAACGTTTTATTCAAGATGTCCACATATGTCATATGGAAAATGTAAGAAATGTTCATAGCGATTCTGGGCTTGAAACTAAAGCATTTGCTCAGACTCATCTTACATTGAAATGTGTGGAAGTCATGCAAATGTATGTCAGTGGAATTCAGTCCATTGCACGTATTTACACATTGTTCCTAGCCAGTCATTTGCCCATCACCTGGCAGGCCTCACACAGCCATGAAGGCAGGCAGCCTGATTTACAAAGACAAAAGACCAAGGATATATGGCCCTACCTCCAAAGATAGATTATTTAAATCTAAATTGAAAGTCAGGTCTATATGGTTTAATATATTGGTTGTTCACAAAAGAACATGAACAACACTTAACTGAGAACCTCTAGATGGTTCTTTCAATCATATAAATTTAGCACACTCTAAGGAGGTTGCAGATTATTTCATATCATTATATTAAGTATGTTTTAAAGTTTGTTTCTTATATGGATACAATTATTTGTTGGAAGGATTCTTAAAATGATTATCTTTTCCAGTTACTTTTATCTTATAGAAAACAAATTTAAGATTTGTTAGTTATTTGCCTTAGAATATGTAGCAGTCAGTGGCAGGGAATGAAATTCCTAGAGCCACATTTTTTTTTTTTTATTTCCTATGCAACCACTCAATAAATAAATAAATAAATAAAACACTCAATAAATAGTTTGAAGCTATTTCAAAACTTTTATTTATCTTTGTATAGAAATATACAAAATTGAAGTGTTATTTCCTGGGAATATTCTAAAGAATTATGTGTAGAGTAGGTTAACTATAGCTTAATTTTTTTTTCTTTTAAGTCACAGTGAATTTTAAATTATTTTATAATATTGCTGTTAATGATATCATGAATTGAATTTCTATTAAATATATGTATGTCTATAAGTCCTAGGTTTATATATGTCTTCAAATTAAAATTCAGAAAGAAATATAAAAATTATTTAAAGCATTCTATATAAATATAAAATAATGTCTTATTAGATTTTTATGCCAAATTAAAATCTGTGGACTATAAATAAACAGGAGAGAAATAAATATTTTTAAAAATGTTTAGCTTGATCTCATACAGGAATGGTAATTTATTTGATGATTTATTTATCTGAAGATGAAGTACCTAAAATGTATCAGGAATGAGTAATAATAAGTTGATACTGGAAGTGTTTATACATCACTCACTACTTTTGCTATGAACGAAACCTGTGTGTTCAGTGTGGAGTCAAATCCCAGAGCCAGTGCACCCATGCTGTAAACACTTTCAGCTGTCCTCATCATGCAGGGTCAGATTTTGGTACTTCTGACATTGCAGGCATTTCTATTTTATCATTTTGTATTTTCCATTACATAAATCAGTGAACATCTATTAATATATCTTGAAATTATATATCATATGATCTAATAGTATTTCTATAGACTTTGTCCCCTCTACTGGATACTGTTAATCTAAAATTAATGAAATGTTTGTAACAATATATATTGTAACTAAACTCATGTTCTTATTTTTTCCCTGTTATATTGTTTTTTCCTTTCACACCTGATTACTTTTCAATGTAAAAATAAACTTATTTGTTTTGTCCTTGACTTGGGTTGGTATGTGTATTTAATATTTCATGGGTATGTATGGCAACTAATGCACTTGAATAATGATGAAAAATTATGTAAACAAGATAGTATTTAAACAATTATGTGAAACCTATTTACATGTGTATATCATTGTTTTTAAGCACTTTATTGATTTTCTTTGTAGTAAATATGATAATTGATATTTTATTGAGGAGAGGACAGTACCATTTTACAATGTTAAAAATTGGGCATTTATTTGAAGACCTATATTCTTGGTAGTTTTCTTCGGAGTTTTTATCAGTGCAAAAGAGTTAACAATTTCAAATGCAGTAGATCAATGTAGTTACTGTTGATAATACAATGGATATAAATAACACAAGAAGAAATACTTGGAATAAAATACTCTATTTTCTTATGTGTGTAAAAATGGTTATTTTTTAAAATAAAATTTACTTGTCTTTGAGTTAAGACCACTTCCAATTAAGAATGGATTAAAAAATACAATCATATGTGGGAAATGGTCTCTATTCTGTAGTATAATAACTAAAACATGGGTTTCAAGCTCCATACTCCTGAGTTCAAGTTTTAGGTTTGGTAGCTATATGATCAACTTAGTAGCTATATGATCTTGAAAAAATTAATTTCTTTGTACTTCAGTTTCTCCATATTTAAAATGGGGAAAAATACTTCTACTTCCCAGTATTGTTTTGATGATTATGTTGGGAAATATTTATAAGGCACGTAGCATGACATTTGGTTAATGGTGAATACTTGTGAAATGTTACTCAATTTTTATATGATGGTTATAAGTTTTTAATGCTCCTTTTTATTACATTAATTTAAGTAGCTTTGTCTTTAGTATTCTATTTTCATGTACTAAATACACAAAGCAAAAGCAATTTATTTTATTTTATTTGACAGTGCATTTATTAAGTAGTGACTTCTCTACCAGGAAATGTATCAGGAATATGTAAAAAAAAATCTAGTGAAGAAGGCAGATGCAAAATTAGATACTTTCAGAATTTTATGATACAAAGTAAGAAAAAAGTTCTGGAATGAAAAAAAGATCATTCCAACTGGAGGTAGTAAGAATTTTCTAGAGGAGATAATTTCTGAAATGAGTCATGAAGATAAATAAGAATTAGTCAGGTGAAGAATGTTAACACAAAATGTTCCCTACAGAGGAACCTGCAACAATAGGTTTAAAGAAATTATCAAGGAAAATACAATTTAGTGTGTTTAAAGCATACGTAAGTTGGGGGAAGGCAAAGAATGAGACTAAAATGCAGAAATAGATCATAAGGGAATTTTTGTTCTACTATTTTTTTACCTTTACCTCCTTAAAATAATTGATGGGATGCTTTCAGGACATTTGATTTAAAGAATTTGTCATCTGACAAAGAATGTGCATATATGTTGAAACCAGAATGCATGATCCTCCATTCAAATAGGCTAGTATTGAAAAGCCCTGCTATTTATGTGCAGTTGTATATATGTAGAACAAAATTATTAAAGTACCAATTATTAAAGTACCTTTTTTAGAATTGGGCACTTTGGAAATCCAGAGAATCAAACTTTGGCCAAACTCCTTGGAAAGTTATTTGTCTTTATTTATGTGGGAAGGAGGGAAATGAGCAATGAACAATTAAAGAAAACAATAAAATACTGCATTATACCATTCACCAGGCTCTGTGCTAGGTATTGTTGCATGAATTACCTACAGATTTCTGACAACCAAGGTATGTTGAAAAATACCTAGTTATATCTTTATTTCCACCCTTATATCTATCTACCTATTTATCCATGTATCTTCAGTATCCCTGCCTCTGTCTCTAGAAAATTGACATTCAGAGAACTAAAGCACTGCAAAAAGAGTACTAAAGATATGAAGTGGAATTCAGGTCAAATTTCCCCTAGATCCCAGGGTGTAGGGTAGACAGTGTTTAGGGTTATTTCAACAGGGACCATCTTTACTTCTTAATTACTGTCAGAAAAAAAAATTATTTCAGTTGTTTCTATCCCTGGGGATATGTAGTAATTGCTCTAAGCTAGTTATTATCACTTCATCTCCTCGTTCAGATTTGAAAACTAGATAGAATTCTGGTTAATGAAAGAGAAGTCTGGTGTCAAGAGAAAGGTTTCCTCCCTCAAGAAAAACAATACCTACCAGGTAAAGCACTCCCTGTTTTTGGTTAATAATCATCTTGTCTTCAAGAACTCCTAGAACTGTTACAGCACATCTTTTTTCCTGGATAAGGACATCAATGGCATCTCCCAAAAGGCGGGGATGGGGGGGGTACTTTTAATCCACATTTATGGACAAACTGTTTTAACAGATACAAACCCTAAATATCCACTTATTCAGCTAAGTAGCATATTCATTCAAATATATTCTTCCTTACTGTAAGCTGACTCTCTTTTCATAGTCATTAGGAAGAAATAGGTAAGTCTAAAAAAAAAAATTGAGCATTTATTAGTGTCAGATTAAAAAAAAATAGCATTTGTTAGTGTCAGAGAATCCAGGCCTGAAAGAGATTCAACCATGGAGACTAAAGACTGAATAGTAGATTGCTTAGGGTTATAAGGAACATAGGTATGAATTCCTAATCTCTATTGTACAGATAATAACATAATTTCATTATGCATTAAATTTGTCCCACATTTTATAATAATTGGCTCTTCTTTTGGATATCTTGAAGTATCCATTATTCCCTGAATACTATGCCTGAATTATAAGTAAGTATATTTTATTCTCATGAAAGCTCTGTGGTTAGTATGGAATATATTTTATGTCCCACAAAGTTTTGCCTTCAGAGGCCTGGTATAGAATGTCTATCAGCTTTCAGTGAAAAGGCATATTATTTACAGAAGACCTAAAATAGCTTAAGAAGAGACAGAAAGGAGGTTAAAACCCAAGAAGCATCTGGCTCTACATACCTGTATTACATCAAGTTTTTCAATGTGTTTACAGGCAAAATCATTTACTTTTCTTCTTCTCTAAAATATCTGTTGAGCCTCTGCCATATACAGTATACTAGTAAACTAGTTTACTTATGAGTTATTGTTTTTTATTTT